TTCATCGACTACGAGAAGGCATTCGATAGCGTGGATAGGAAAACACTGTGGAGGCTTCTTCGACACTACGCTGTGCCTGAGAAAATAGTTAACATCAGACGGAATTCTTATGATGGATTCAACTGCAAAATCGTACACGATGGACAGCTAACAGACTCCTTTGAGGTGAAGACCGGTGTCAGGCAAGGTTGCTTACTATCATTCTTTCTCTTTCTCCTGGTGATCGACTGGATTATGAAGGCGTTGACATCTTGAGGGAAGCACGGTATTCAGTGGACAGCTAGGATGCAGCTGGAGGATCTGGACTTATAATACATAGCAACAAATGCAAGAGAAGACGACCAGTGTAGCAGCAGCTTCTGCAGCAGTAGGTCTCAACATACATATATGGAGAAGCAAAATTCTCCGATGCAACACAACATGCACCAACCAAATCACTCTTGATGGAGATGCCTTGGAGGACGTTAACTCCTTTACGGATCTGGGCAGCATCATCGACGAGAAAGGTGGATCGGATGCAGATGTGAGTGCGCAGATTGGCAAAGCAAGGACTGCATTTCTACAATTGAAAAATATCTGGAACTCAAAACAAATATCAATCAACACCAAAATCAGGATTTTCAATACAAGTGTCAAGACTGTTCTACTGTATGGAGCTGAAGCTTGGAGAACTACAAAAGCCATCATTCAGAAGATACAAGTATTCATTAACAGTTGCCTACACAAAATAATTCGGATTCATTGGCCAGACACCAACAGCAACAACGTACTGTGGGAGAGAACAAACCAGATTCCAGTGGAGGAGGAAATCAGGAAGAAGTGGTGGAAGTGGGTAGTACACACACTACGAAAAGCACCTGACTGCGCCACAAGACAATTCCTCACTTGGAACCCTCAAGGTCAAAGGAAATGAGGAAGGCCAAGGAACACATTACACCGAGAAATAGAGAAAGACATCAGGAGAATGACCAAAATTTCAAAGGGAGGTTTAGGAAAGAGTAGGTAGGAGAACACTGGTCGGCGGCCTATGCTCCGTTATGGTTGACAGGCGTAAGTAAGTAATTAATAGTTAACAGTTGGATACAAATTTTCCACGCCCAGACATTACGGAAAACATGGAACCAGGTTGCCAGATCCCAGTACGAGTAACTATTTACTTTTGTTTAAAAAGATTTGCTTACTTCTCTTTACTCTGATAGAGCATAGACTACCAAAGTATTCTCCGAAAAACTCCTCAGGTTTTCCTTTCCACTTCTAACCAACTGCTATTCACCATTTTCATGTCTGGTAATGATTCTTGACTCGGTGACTTGCTTGACTTACATCTACTGTTTTGACCCTGTCGGTTCCATGTTAGGGCTTGTTTCGTGAAGCGTTTTGGAGATTTATGCACCGTGTATCCTATCCACCTGTATCACTTTTTCCTAATTATCCTCCTCAGCTGGAATTTGGTTTGTTGCCTATAGTATCTGGCCAACACATCTGGAGTATTGTGCAAAGGTGGCTGTTTGTCAGCACTTGTATCTTTTGGATGATGGCTATAGTGGTTTTCCATGTTTCTGCTGCAAACTGTAGTTTTGTTTTATGTTCTGAGTGAAAATTGTGACTTTTGGTATTGGTTGACAGCATCATATCTACTCTATTTATTAATGATGCTGTTCGGGTATGTAAGTGGTTTCACATCATCAAGAGCTTCTCAGTAATTCATGTTATTTACTAGACATATCGACACTTAATAATCAAAATCCTTAACACCGATCACGTTAAGAATATATGTGTTTTATCTTGATCAATCCTTTACTTTCTTATCATATTCATCTTTTGGAAACCTTCATTATTTCCAGTTAATTAGAATTTTTATGGATTCATTTAAAATCAAGAAAATATTTAGACTTATTTTGATATTTTGTCACAACTAATTGAACAGCTTCTCAATGAATGAATTTATTATATTGGAGATCATAATTTCGTATCCATCTATTTGAGAAATGTAAACTATACTGATGACTGTGAGTGACTAATGAAATAATCAGGTATCGTCAGTGTTTAGACATGAAAATGTCAACAATAAAAAATAGTAAAATATTAGTGGAATTAGTAGCTTTGACACAAATAATTAGTTCTTGCTGTGACAGTAAAGACAAATAGTCAAGTTTGCATACTAGCAGTACGGATGATATTGTAAATTCGGATCACAATCTTATAAGGTTTTTGTCATTAACAGACTGAAGTTATCATAAAATTATGCTTTAAAACCAGCTCGTGTTTATAAACTTTAAAAAAAAACCTACTGTCGTTCTTGAAAACCAGGAGTGAAAGTGAGGAAATAATGTCTAGCGACGCTAAACACTTTAGGTCAGATTAAGTACTTGTAGTGGAACTCTTCTACGAAGAAAATACGATTTGTGAAAAATAAACATTATTGTACTCGTTTTGTTCAACTGTACCAAAAACACTTCTTGCGCGCAACGTTCTCTTCACGTTGCTGCCATTTTTCATAACGTGCTGCTCTCTATGTAATGCCTACTTTCTCCTTCAATAAAATATTCAAACATGGATTTATTTTGATTTATGTAACGGGATAGTATGGAACATTTAATGGTGATCATAGTCAATCTCGACTCGGTCACCACTAAATACTCTAACACATAATCTAAACCAGAAAGGTATTTCTTCTAACTTGACTTAAGCACCATCCTATATTCATTGTATGGTTACAATGTAAGTATTTTTAACAGCTGTAAATATTTTGAAAACCAAACGTTGTCTATTCTCATTTAGTTCATGATTTCATAAAAGTTATCCTTTATTGCACTTTTAATTTCACTTCAAATCTATGAGACACAATGTTAATTCTTATTAGGTCACTCAAGGTCGTCGTCAGTATAGTATGGTATACACTTTACAAATATTTTGTTGTACTTATTGAAAGTTGTTTTAGAATAGAATAAAACGATTTCTTTTGAAATTTACACTTTTTAAAAAAAATATTTAATTAAGATGATTCTACGGAATTTTTAATATTTAATATCAATCTGTAATAAGTTCAGAAAACCAAGAAACTTAATTAATTTGCCTTGATTAAAATTTTCCCGTACAGACAGACAACTGAGAACTTCTATTTAAGATTGAACTTAACAGATGATATAGATCGAAATACAAGATGGAAATTCACTGAAGTTCATTGTTTATTTTAATATTCACCTTGTAAATTCCATCACTAAAATAAAAAATATCCAGAATCATTCAAAAACTGTATGTTTTTAACCTGTAGTTATAGTATCGTAAGTGTAGACCTTGATAAAATACTATTGATTAGTCAGTAAATATTCTGTTTTAAAATATTATCACCGTAAGCATAGTAAAAATGATAAGACAGTGTCTGACTTCAAGTTTTTTTTGGCCTAATAGAGGGATTTTAACAGATTATATAGATTTTTGGTAAATTTGAATCAATTAGATTGAAAAAAAATTTCCAATTCAGCCGTTAGTGAAATCGAACCAACAAACTCTTGCTACATGGATGGTATTAGGGAAGGATATAATTTCATTTAGTCAAGATGGTGTTTACCTTGAGTATGCAATAGAAGCGTCACCATGCTTTAAAACACAATTATTCCACAGAGTAGTAACTAGAGCACTTGCTTCCGAGTGCTGAGTGACAGGTTCGAAATATGCTTTACAAAGGAGTATTGTGGTGCGCGCTACTTATCAGTAGTATATGACGCAAGTGAAAATGTAATATCTGGCAGCAGAAGATGGGCGAAGATCAAGAAAGGAAGAGTGGGAACACAATGGAATTTGTATGAAACGCATGAATAGTGAAATGTCAGACAATGGATTGATGTTTTGCAAATTAACCGTTTACGGTATGGTTTCCCTATTTTACCAATTAACTCTGTAATTTACGATAAATACAATTCGGTTGCACTCACCTGTGTTCTGCTTCACTACAGTATTACTTACTCACTCCTCAAATGTTTAGTTGAAAATTTATATAATTTATATATGCAGTTGTTAAAAGTGAAATAGAACTAATTAAGGATTACAGGGTCCCCCTAGTGCCTTGAAGAAAATACACCGATGTTACATCACTTAGCATGGTGTACCATGTTGAGATTATTTTAAGGTCAATAAACCGAAAATTCGTCTCTGATTATGTTCATTTTTAATGTGAAAAAATGAATTTTAATTTCGTAACCAGTTCAAAATCACCACACATTATTGTCAAGATAACATATTACGTGAGAAATACTTTACAAATTTTCAACATTTCTAGCATTGACTGCTTCAATAATAATCTCATAATCTCTGATAATATTCAGCGTTGAAATATAAGCATATGTTCATTTGGTATCTATACCCGAACAAACATATTGTACGGATCTAAACGTTCATTTATAAAACTATCATTATCTAAGGAACCCTCATAAACTATTATTGATGAATTCATGAGATTCGTTTAAAACAAACAAGTTATGAAGAAAGAAAATTTCAGATATTCGGTAAAAATGTTCTGAAGGTAGTAATTTTTAGGTCAAATCGTAATGATTTGTTGAAGATGCTGAGGATTGATTACTCAATGGAATATCCTCATTTTACGGACACGATAATAACTAGCGCTATAAAGTCTAATGGCGATTGATTCGGGTTTAAATTTTCCTGACCTATTTTTAATACCATGATGTCCAAAAATAAATACCAATGATTGTCTTTGCTTCAGACACACATGTACAAAAAAACACGTGAAGCAGAAATCAAGTGATCAAAGGGTTGCCTAAATCTGAATGACCTGACGAACAGATAAATTGAGGACATAGCGTGTGCAGAAAACAGTGGTGGGCGTACAGATAGCTATGCTATATACCAAAGAGATAGTCCAATGACAGCCATTCTGTCAAGTGATTGGTTCATTCTACAGCTAGGCAGGGACAGGTCAAGGCAACAGTTAAATCAACCAATGAAATACTAGATAGGCTTTTATTTCTGTTTAATTGGTTATTGCATGAATTTGTTAGTTGAAGTTACCAGCGAAAAGGCGCTTGTTCATACTGTACTGTTTCACACTGCGAATAGGTTTAACAGAATTACGTTGTGTGGTTCCTGTGTTCATTTCATTCTTACTGACTTCACATTTGTGTGGGAAACTCTAGAACTATAATAACTTATCAAATTTGACTTCGCACTAGTTTTTATATGGACTGTCTACGTACTTGTTGTCCAGCGAGATTCACTTAATATTCGGATTACCTACTCAATGGCGCACACAGTTATTCAGAACACAAATAACCCTTATGCCAATGGAAGGCTCGTAAGACGAAGCTCACAGGACCTTGGTTTGCGTAAGTTTGTTTACTAACTCCATGTTATAAATTGACATTTTGCTTAATGTTTAGTATCAAAATGCAGGACACGAGTATTTCTGTTCTAGATCTGAAGCTGTTACTCATCTATTTGTCTGTCATATAGATAAGTCTAAAGGAGAGGTTTTCTTTAACCTCACGTGTTTCGAGAAATGCTATTTTACTACTATTAACATGGTAATTTTGTTGCCCTATACAATCTATTCCGAGCTGTATCCGATTCTATCATAATCACTTGGCTACACGTCAGTGTGTCGTTAGAATCTGTTTAGTTGCTTGTAACAATTTATATTCTATATGGCGAGTTAACTAAAGCTTGATGTGTCAGATTAGTCAGTTGCTGGCCATTTGTGTATATGGGTATCTCCCGATGATTAATAAGCACTGCTTAGCACGTTTCATACGCTTGAATTGGAATGTTCGAAGGGCATCTTAATTGATAGATTATTTGGATACCTTTATAAGATGAACCGTGTTCCAGATAAGTCGTTTTTTCTTGTAAATGTACAGTGGTGTTCATATTTCCAAAATAATATTTTCATCCAAGTGTTCTTATTGGATTAACGTAAGTCGTCTACTAAATGTATTGTAATACTTCCCCGTGAAAAATCTTCGCTCGTATGTCTGTTTGGATTACTTTAGTCAAACGTTATATACCGAATAGAGTTAGGAGTTGGTTAGTATGGTAACTAATAATCATACTCAAAGTTATCCTGTAAAGCTAGTTTATTCGCTTTGTTAGTAATCCTACTCAATTTACGGCTTCTTACTATTTACAGAGGTTGAAGTTTACGAAGGTTATTACGAATTCCTCCGACGTTACACACTTGGTGAACGTTTTGGATCTGGTGGATTTGGTCATGTTCACCATGCTAGGCGTACATCTGACAATAAAGAAGTTGTAGTAAAAGAAGTTCGATCGGATAAAGTTCCATGCTGGTGTTTGGTAAGTTAACGCTTTTCATAAAGTAAATGGTTCATGCTCCAGCATAATTTATTAATTTGGTCAGAAAATCTTGCCATATTGTGTTGCTTTTTTTAACTCTCTGTTTTTAAATTGCTTGAATCAATAGTGAATTGGTTCAAATCTTACTCTATCTCGATCTACCCTTTGATTTGTTACATATTGGTGTGTAATTTCTAATTACGATAGGTACACATGTATTTTTGACGAATGCAGTTATGGTAATTGTATAATATTTGTGAAATATCACAGTACGTAATAGGGTACGATTATTTATTGCTCAAATTTTTATTTGCTCATCCCCATTGTGTAGAAAATCCTATATTTGGCTTTGTTGCTCATCTTTGTGTTGGGTCTAATAATACTGTTCCAACAAAACCTAAAAAGCTTCAGCTGAGTGCGAATTCGGTTGATCGGTTAAAAATATAGTGTGCTTTCTCTTGTACTTCAAAATATACCGCTTGTTAAATCTGTCCATGAAATATTTGATGTTTGTTTTACAGCCGTATACTTTTTCTCTTATAGTTCCTAGTGAGTTAGATTATCCATAGGACATCATTATTTGTTGAAATATCTAAGTTATGTAGACCTGTTGTTCGTCGATACAAGTTACTCATAAAAAATATATTTGCTAATCGTGGATTAAGATTGGTTTTGTAAGTCTACCACTCGGATTCGACAGCTCATAGACTCATACATTTCGTGGGTTATCATTATTTTGTTTAGAATATCAATATAAGTGAAATCTGGCGTCTCTATCTAGTTCCACTTAGGAGCTCTAATTATCTTAAGCAGATTGTAGATAAAACCATCTAGCTTTGTACTAAGTACGAGCTCTCCGTTTCATCAAGATGGGAGTCACTTATATTTTAAAACAGATTGTATTATTCTGTTCATGAAAACTATTTTGAGAAATTAATTGTGGTCAAAGGTTAGTTTAAGGTGACTAAGAAAGAAGTGACAGGCTGGACTGTAGTTCATTAGTGAAACTTATTGAAAACAAAGTCAACATACTAGAAGAAAGGAATAAAAAGTTATTTTCAATTAGGCAAGTGAAGCAATGGCAAATGTAGCATGCAAGTGCTTATAGTACTTAAACTTGAACTATTCAGCCACGAAACCCGATACCACTCTATCCAATTCTGTTCGAGCAAGCACGCTTTATCACTATACATCTCAAAGTGTGACTCACAACCTTGTAAGCTTGCATGTATCAGATTCAGAAATAAAACGGTTTTTATAACTTGAAAGCATTGCCTAATATCTACATAATCGTAGCTAGTTTTGTGATGCTTCTTACCATTTTTAGTACCAGTTCTTATTGTTTAATGAGCTACGCATACTGCAGATTGCTTTGATTTGTTGGTAAACCAGCAACCACGCACAGGTTTACGTACACATTTTTGGGTTACATTCGATCTTTGGGGGTTCGTATTATTAATCTGGTGTTTAGATTGGAGTATAGTTGATGGGGTTCGATACTTCTACCCATTGATTAACCGTTGAGTACATTAACTGAAAAGCTAGCATTCTGAGAACCGTTTTAAAAGTTTCTGGACGTATAACATGCTCCAGTCACATTAGTCTATGTGGGTTCCCAACCCGACTTACAATCTTTTCTAGACAATATGTCTTGTGTATGGAGTTAATTTTGACTTCCAAAAGAAATGAACTAGGTTTATTTACTCTGTATTGATGTACGGGACTCTACTTAGTTAATTTCGACTAATCGTTCCAGTAACTTATTTCAAAAGATTCTGCATGAGACTGCATTCGGTCAGATATACATCGGCGTAGGCAATAAAAAAATGTAGTAATCATTTTCAATCTTGTGTAATTACTCATCAAAAAATGGTTAGATTGTTATCATTTTGTCTTCTAATGAGCAATAATAAGCAATTTGATTCATTGAGTCCAATTTTATTAAGGTTTATTCTAATTCCATAACCAAACTTATTGATTTACAATCATATTTTAAATATTGAAGCTATTAGAGATATCTTTGTTCTAGTTTTATCCCTTATGATGTAACTTTATTAATGTACTTGATCATTATTTAAACTTTTTTTAGAATAGAATTATTCTCTACATGATATCAGTTCATTTGAGGTGTATTAAATAGTAGAAAAAAGAACTCAAATTTTATCATAAGTATTTCGACTAGTTGATATTTCACATTTCTTTATATTCATCATTATTTTCTAAATTCATTTAATATTATACAAGTAGGTTTATTAATTGTTTAATTTACTAGTACGTAGGTGGTGGTAGAACTATTTTATCCCTATTCCCATAATTTTCAATAATTAGTTTACTATTGTTGTTTTTTTCATAAGCTGCTTTGTCTGATTCGAAGTATTGTGTGTGACCAAAATTCAGACTACTCAGAAGTGTAGTTGTATTACTGTTTTGTCTCAATCTATGAATATTGAAATTCTTTGTTACCTTATGTACATACACAAATATGTAGTGTTAACTACACTTAGTTTGTGGGTAAACTTTCGCTGTTCCCTCACCCTAATCAGTAGTCATCATTGTGACTGATAGTTAACCGTTATGTCTGTTCGTGTATGCGAAATGCTTCTGTCCATGTGCTAGGTCATAAGACCATGTGTCTGATAATTAAGTTATATGTATCTCAATGCTGGCTAGTCAATAATCCAGTTCTTATGTTCAATGTTTCATTTTGTTTTTTTTTCTACAAGAGATTATCTTAAGTATTGTTAATCCACTTTAATTTTCTTGTTCTTGTGTTTATTTAGTTGGATAATCAATTAATGCCAATTGAAGTTGTACTTCTAGTTATGTGTCAAGGTTTACCTGGTATAGTCAATTTATTAGATGCTTTTAATTTTGGTCAATCTTGGGCAATTGTTATGGATCAAGTATCCAGTACAACATGTGATATGTTTGATTATATTGGTGAACGGGGAATGTTGTCAGAAAATGAAGCTTCTTTTTATTTTCATCAATTGATTGGTATATTGCTATCATGTCATAAAGTTGGTGTATTACATCGAGATATTAAAGATGAAAACATTTTAATTAATCGTACAACGAATGAATTAGTACTCATCGATTTCGGTTCTGGTGCATTCTTAGAATCACGTTTATATACAGATTTTGATGGTAAGATTAATGAACAAAAAGTTGTTTTTACTTGAGAAAAGTTAATTTTTTTTAAGGAAGGAATCTAGTTTTGTTTCACGGAACAAAAAGTGTACAACTTTTGTGTTATAAGTCGGCAGATGATAACAAAATCACATTATTTGACTCATTATACCATGTTAATAGTAGATTTTGTATACACGGCCAATGACATATAACTAGAAACCTGTATGTGTACTACCTAGTCTACTCACAGATTCAATAATTTATATGGAGCATAAATATTTCGATGCTACTTCTTACCAATAGTTGCGTCTTTTGGATTCGCGATAACTCGCGTTAGATATTGAACTTATATCACTTTCATGTAAATGATACAGATGAGAATATTTTTACTGTACTTATAATTATTGACTATATTAAAAATTACAGTTGGTCAGATTTGAGAAAAAATTAAGACTAATCAGATCGAAGTATGAGTTTATGAAGTTTAAGTTGTTTCAGCAGTTACGCATTTTCTTCTGTTCATGCAACCTGTAAAACAACTGTGACGTATTGCTATGGACTAAATCACACGTTTCAAGCAAATCTCAATGGCGCAAATACTTTTATCCTCAAGTTCTGAGCACTTCATTTTTCCATAGTTTTCACTGTACAGTTTCCTCTCTTTTCATTATTTCTACATATACTGATTTCCTACTACTGTTAGTAAACGGAATTTATTCACTGAGACATAAAGCTAGAACGATTAGTTCACTGAACCACTATTAGCATTGGAATGTAGCAACTCATAGTGATACGAAGCTATCTACACAAACCTAAACACACTTCTTAAACAAGAGATCAACTGTAATTATGGAAACGTGTTTGTTTGAAAGTAGGAGATTTAAGGACTTTTTATCACAGAAATTCTGTTTCCCATCAACTTAATATTAGCATTTTTTGTTTCTTTTGATGTTTTTTTTTTCCAAATATCAGGTACCCGTGTTTATAGTCCACCTGAATGGATTTTAAACAACCGATATCATGGTAAACAAGCCGAAGTATGGTCTTTAGGTGTACTACTTTATGATATGTTATGTGGTGATATTCCTTTTGTTAATGATAAAAGTATTATCGGGGGAAAGTTGCGATATCGCAGAGACAATATAAGTGAAGCAGCAAAACATCTTATTGCGTAAGTTGTAATTCTAGTTTTTGTCGTAAATTTATTTTTTTACAAATGATAAAAAAAAATGAAGTAATTTAAATCTTTTGATGAATTATTCAAAAAGGTTAATCGGTTTCATTCAAGTAGTTAATGAAAAGTTTTGTAAAACTTACGGACTATAATATTTGCAAAAGAGTTTTGAACGCGACTAACATATACGTATTTGTAGTTATCTATTTTTGTTACTTGTAATGGTCAGTATTGTATCTATCGTAAATATTTATCTTTATTCTCTCAAATCCTAACCTTCGGAGTTCTTGAACTGATGTACATACGTACGAAGTTCTATGTTGTTGTTGTCGACTGACTGACTGACTGATTTATCTTCATAATTTCATAACTAATGATAAGAAACGATTAAACCAGTCAATCAATAATCATATTTGTTCAAATATTTGATTAGAAATCGGTCACAATTACTTACTAGCTAAAGTATACGAAATTAAATACTCAGAGGCAGTTTCAAATGTCAAACTGCTGGGTGTCGTCACACACTCCCACTCATATATACCAGTAATGAATTCGTCATGAAATCTCTTATTTATCCTCTAAAATGTGTTGGGTGTTGTAAGTAGATTGGTGAGCTTTGTGCCACTCTTGACTACGTCATTACTTTTCTGATGATGTTAATTAGAGTATTTGTACAATGACAACCTTATACACCTAAGCCAGATTATGTTTTGTAAGATGGTTAATCAAATTACTTAAAATTTCTTCGCATTTGTACTTTTTCAGTTTTTTTAATCTTCTATTAAATTTTTATTTTGTGATCCATTGGTTAGATCCTTAATTTTCTATTATGGATCAGTGATTAATTAGTTTACTCCATTGTATGGATATAGTTGTGTCATAATTCAATGTTTGCCATTGTAAAGAATTTCCGTTATTTAAAGTCTTGATGTTGCTATTTTTCTTCACTAATAATTAATATTTATTTGTTATACATGGATTCTGTGGTTGAATATTTATATGTATCAATACTTCTTGAATTTTCTAGGAGTTGTTTAAACATGGATCCATCTAGACGTCCATCTTTGTTAGAGATTCTTCAACATCCATGGATGCAAGCCCACAGACCTCAAACTGGTGTTAAAATTCCATTAGCTTATCAAATAGCTTTGGATACTTTGGAGAAAGAATCAAACTCTGATGCTACTTCGACTATTTCAAATGTATCAGATTTACAACATTCTGTAGAAGTGCAAAGTTCAAGTTTATCAAATCAAATGATTTCTAGTTTTCCACATTCTTGCTCATTTACAAATCCTTCCATAGGCATTGATAACAATCATAGAAGCCAACAAACCAATAATGTTGATCGTTTACAAACAGTTTTAGATTCTAATTCTTCTTCTTCCGGTAAGGATAGTCGCTCAAGCCTTCATTTTCATATTCCCTCAGATACCACTGATTTAATAGGATCCAATATTGGTTATGCTTTCCATGACTTTTTACGAGAGGAGGTTTCAGTTGGTGGATTTTCCCAATCACCTGTATCTAGTATGTCTCCTAAACTTGAAACAGTGTGGTCCAATCCGAACACAAAAATTAACGAACGAGTAGATATGAACGTTCTTCCAGATAGTAGGTTATCATGTCAACAAACATCATGCCCTGAAATCATACCGCGTCTTCATTCCAATGAATCTGATTCTAGCTCTGGCTATTATTCACGTTCAGATTCTTTGTCATCAAACGATGGAAAACAGCTTATTTCAGCTGTAAATGTTGGTAACTTGCGTACTTGTTCAACTGCAAGTCATATGTCATCCGTTATGTCAGTTACTAAGCCTGTATCAACAGCCGTCAATGATAAATCTCCTTGTTCAACTGCAGTATCCTCTTCCTATTCCCGACTTCAAAATACGGAAGTTCCTATTCATTTACATTATTGGCGTTCAGGTAGTTCCAGTACAACATCATCTGATTCATCGTCATCTTATTCATCCACAAAATCTAATTGCCTTGATAAACAACTACGGCAAATTAGTGAAAATACATCACCCATTCCCTCCTACTCGTCTCCATCATATCTTAATCCTTCTTGGTCTACTATTTTGAGTTCATCTAAACATCCATCTCAAATCTATTCAACCAATACAACTCATTCCAGTGTACCATGTTCAGGTGTGACTATGTATTCTTCAACTACAAATGCTGTAACCAGTTCAAATTCCGATATAATAAACACATTGAATAGTAACCTGTTATCATCTTCTACTTCAAAATTAAATTCTCCTCTATCAACTCATGATTGGTTTTTCGGTAGTAGCAGTAGTAGTAATAACAATATTGACATGGATCACGTATGATTTTTTGAACTATTTACCGTCTGTCTCAATGTACACAATCATTTATAAGAATAGTTGAAAGTTGAAACATTTCTAATCTTTGATGTATTTATATTATGTCAATAGGAAATGATCAATTGGATTTTATTGAAACTCTGATTGATTATTTTCCTATTCACATCAGTTAGTACATCAATAGATTTTAATTGTTCCACGCATTATAATTATTGTGCTCTTCTATTTTTATTTTAATACCAAAATTATGTATTATATTCAATGTGTAGAATGTTACTAACACTAATGTGGTTTGTTAACTTATTATATAAATCTTTATTAAAATTCAAAACATTAATTTACAGAGTAATTGATTATCGTTATTATGCTAAAATGAAAATCTCAATCTTTATTATTATTATTATTACTGTTATTTCTAATTAATTTCATGCTGTAGGAATTTTCCGAAACTGTGTTTTTCTTTTTGTTTAATATTATTGTTATTATTGTTATCATTAATTTTTTTCATTGCTGATTATTCTTTTAAAATTGTATTGTTTGGCTTCTGTTCTTGTATTAAAAAAAATTTCTATTGTTTCGTCAAGTTGTTTATTATATGATTATTACTATTTTTTTTTTGGACAGCAAAAAATAAACCAAAATGTTTCTGATTTTTATTTCGTTTTATGTGTTAGTTTCTGATATTTTCTCTTGTTCTTCCTGTCTCCTCTATGTACACGTGTTTGTGTGTGCGCGTGTGTGTGTGTATCTTTTCTCAATGGCTTTTTTATGTATTCATGAAAATTGCTCACACTACTTATTGGCCTTGACAAATTGATATATATATATCTATATATATATACATATATATTCTGTAGTTTCAAATTACTAATTATTTCGTTTAAAAACTGATTGCCGTGTACTGTTGATTTCGTTTTGTTTGTTTGTTTGATAAAGTGTGTGAAGTGTACACCGAAATTTTTGTATATATTAGATCTGTTTTTCTTTATTGTACATACTTTGAGTATTTTGATTTTTTTTCGTATGAATAATTAATTACAGGTTAAAATTTAATGCATCATTGCAATTAGTTGGTATGGTAAAGTGCGCTAAGTAAAGAAATGGGGTATTATAATATTATGAGTACTACCAGTTGGACTGGCCAGATTTTTTACATCACTTATTTCGTCAGCTAAATCCAGTGAACTTGTCATGGATTAATTCATCACAAGATGGAATGTTATAACAAGTGATAACTGAGTTGACTCTGTATGAAACTTAGGCATGTTTGACCTACAAAATAGAGAGCTGTTGAAGGCGTAGTAAATAGAGGTTGCTACTACTCATCGCTTGATCTGCGTGTGTTCTATGCTTATAGTTGATATATATTTTATCATTCATTCCTGTAATATTGAGTCAATATTTTCGTATCGAGGGCATAACATATCTCTATCCTTTTAACTTATGAATAGATGGAGTAGACGAATAGCATAGTTTTCCACCGCAGTTTTCTATGCCATATCGGTTTCTCAGTATTCAGCATATTTACTTAGTCTAATCATTAAGTTCCTCAATCGATCAATCCATTCTCAGTTGGATCGATGTATTACAGAGATTTTAACACTTATCTGGTGCTCGTGGACGTATATAAAAACTACTCAACTGACGAGAACACCTTATAATGAACATACGATTATTTTAAGATATCGCTGTTTTTCGAGTCTTATGTAAGTAAGCATTCTTTTGACTTGTTAACTAAATAGATGTACGATTGTAGAAACATGTGATTTGTGAAAATTATATTTGAATTAATCTCAGCGATTGAAGTTTAGACAATTCCGAATATGTAACATTGAATATAATCTTCAAAGATAATATCTTGTATGTATTCAGCTTCGAAGTTTTATCGGACTATTCACTGAAATATTGGCCAATCTTCGTATAAATACACATTCATTTTCAGATTGAATTTATTATAAACTGACTCATTCCAGTCATTTATGGTAAAATTTTCAAATTACGAGAATAATTTACTAGCAGGTCAAACAAATTGCTTAGTGTCCAATCTTGTAATGAAGGTTGGGTTAGATTCGTTTTAACATAAAGTGTAGAAATTACTTAATATGAAGAGAAAATCTGAAAGAATGAATGTGTCATTTGTCCGTATAAAACTAAGGGACAGATAGATAATTATATGCGTACTACTCTCTCTCTCTCTCTACTCTAAATGAGATTAAATTAGCACCCATTATATAATAATCAACCTTTAACTTCATTTATGTTTACCTAAGCAACAAATATTGAATTCGTTATCCTCATAGGAATTTTGTTTTACAAACGAACATTATTTTACAAATATTAGAATAGTTCTTATCAAATGATTGTCTAATTTTGTTTGATTATTATTATTATTATTATTTTTAATATTAACCTGAAAACGCTCACAAATCTGATTTGTATTTTACACTAATTGTCAATAATAATAATAACAACCTTGAATTTGAAAATTTCAAAGATATATTGTCACATGTGGGTCAATTGACAAATCTATGGATGTTGATACACATTAGCACTAGCTAGTATCATCACATGTGAGTGTGTGTGTGTGTATAGATACAAAAAATATTTTTTGTTTAGAAAGCACACATCCATATCCATATATCTGAATGCTGACATAGTACAATGAATGTGATAAGTTGTTAATTTTGCATATTAGTATCAACATTCCAACATCCATTTTGGCTCATCTCCAAGTCAAATTCACTTGAATTTATGACTCATCTAGCATTGTATCATAGTCATTACTCTTAGAGTATTTGATATGTATATATATATATATATATATATATATATATATATATATATATATATATATATATATATACCAAAGCTTATAATTGTTATATCAGATAGTTAGAAACAGTTTATAGTTATCTGCATAATTCAATTCAAAGCGTCATGTTGATGAACTCACATGAAAGAGAATGTTTTCACTTGAAAATAAATGGTACATAATATGAAAAAAAAATTATATTGGCAAAATTTTTGAAATGATTCTTTAATGGAGATGAATTTGTTTTTTTGAGATTCATTTCATTGCATATTGCTTATTTATTGTTATGCAACTTTTTTTTGTCAGTCAGTTAGATGCAACGTAAAACTTCGTACGTAATTACATCAGTTCATTAGCCATACCATATCAGCACAGAGATATAATTGTCAATTCAAATCCAATAGTAGTAGAGGTAGTGAAAGTATTAGAAGTAATCGGAAAGGTTAGGATTAGAAGATATTATTCAGGAAGCATGATTTAGTGAGATAAGTTTAGAAAGACAAAACTAGAGGTGTTGAAGAATCTAGAAGATTAGGATTTGAGAGAACACAAAGAATAAATGCACCTGCGCCATTGCAAACGGTTTTGAGCCATGTCATTCAAGGTCTCTAACCATCGATTATTATCATCCCAACCAGGTAGTCGACAATTACCGACATGGCTGAGCCCACTCGTCAATGACTTCATGGATTTCTGCCATGTTTTGATCTGGCCGCCCCTAACTTTCTCTCGAGCTACTCCTACACTACAAAACATCGCTCGTCGAGGCAGTCGGTTGTTGGGCATATGTAACACATCTCTCAATCACCTCAACTGATGAAGTTTCATTACTTCATCTATTTATCTACCATCCTTACCTAGCAACCGATTCCTAATAACAGCGTTGCTCACTCGGGTGTCCCAGGATATACGAGCAATGTTTCGAAGACACCTATGATCGAAAACCAGTAACCTACGAATATCTTCTACTTTCACTGACCATGTTTCACAGCCATAAAGCAAGAAGATGAGAACTACTGCACAGTACATTCGTCCTTTAGTCAGCAAACGGATATTTCGCACTGTTTTTGTATGATAAACTATTGTATATTTCGTCCAATAAATATTTATGTAATAAAGTTTACTCATTTTTTGAGCAGTCACTTAAATAAACGTTGAACAGTTGTATATTTTGCATACACCATGATATTGTGATTGAAATGCCGAGTGTTATTGATACAATGGTGAACAGATTAATTGAACAACCAATCAATATCTATCTGCTAACAACTATTAATTATTGAATTTATCAACAGAAGTAATCATAACCACTAAAGCAATAATATTAATTAATAAAATAATGATTAATATTTTTTTACATCTTATTTAATAAGATATCGATTAGAGTGGTGAATAGAGAATAATCACTTATACATTGACTACTACTCTATGATCTCGATGCTTGTTCAATGATTGAGAACACTACATGTACGTATGTTCGCTCTATCGGTTTCAAGTTATGACTTCTGTAATAATTATTGAAAAATTATGTGATCGAAATAAAAGAAAACACTAATTTCTTAACTTTATCGTAATGATCAAACAGGAGTTTCTCGTCTTTTAGTTTCTCTTCAAACTGATTTCAAAAATATCCGCACTTTTGAGATAAAACATTTGAATTCATATTTATATATATAGTGAAATAGGATTTTATTATTTTCAGAATGAATTTCCGATTATGAAAATAAAATGAATCGAATACTGATTAGTAGATTAGATATAATGTTGCTGAATAATAGCTACTTACAAGACCCGAGGCTTGTGAATGATTCAGGATCAAAAAAAAAACAAGACCGTTGGCTAAAATAACAGAAAATTTTCCTTTATACAATAACATGTGTGTACAGATAAGATATTAACATTAAAATACGCATTGATTAAATGTCATTGGCAATCTGAGTGAAATCAATTTTGTTGGTCAATGAAAACTTTGCTTATTATTACCTCGGATCACTAATTACTTGGAAGATTTTGTCCACGCAATAAATTTGATTGTACAATACAAAGCTTATTTACTAGTGTTAATGTTTGTTTTTTAAAATAATGACTGCTATTATGTTTTTAATTTCATACAAATTTCGTAAATCATAAAAAATAGTACAATTCCATTCATTCATTTACTTCATTTAACTTAAAGCCACAGTTTAATTGTAAGCACTAACAGCTGGACATTGAAAACTTACTTACTTACGCCTGTCACCGCCTAATGAAGCATATGCCGCCGACCAATGTTCGCCAACCTACTCTATCCTAGACTTCCTTTTCGAATTCTATCCAATTTTTGTTCATTCTTGTCATATCTTTCTCTATTTCTCGGCGTAATGTGTTTCTTAGCTTTGCTCTCTTCCTTTTACCTTGAGGGTT